AGGTTACAAAAAGTGTTCACTGTCTAAGGTCGCTCTAGTTACCTACTATCTTAAAAGAAGTAGATATAGAATAACAACATATACTATATTTTTTATTTTAAAATACACTTGTTAATTTTATTAACTTTTACAAAATTTAAATTATTTTTCACAAAGTTGCTATTCATCAAGATAATATATATAATAATTTAACTGACCAACTTGCATATAATTATTACAATCTGTTATATCTTATTTTTATATCTTATAATATTTATAACCTAGCTTATACTCTTATTTTTGGAAAATTTTTTTTGAAGCTACCAACTCATTACAGTATTTATACAATTTGTTATATACACATTTATGCATTATAAATTACCCAAAACTGCTTTCATAAATGGAAAAAAAATTTTATCTAAATTAACCAGTAAGCCACTTAGTTATATATTAATAACAATCAAAAAATTTAAACTTTTTATATAGCTTTTAATTATCTACTCTTAAGTTTTTTAGAATTAAATTTTACTAAATTAACTCTTTGCTTCATATACTTTATACAAACATTACTGCTTATACTTAGCTACTTGTCATTAATGTCATTATACTAGCTCTCATTTTTACTAAACAACTTGTCTATCTGATCAACTATTAAACAATTTTATAAATAACTTATTACAATATACTCTTAATATTACTATTCTCAATACTACTTCTGAATTATAACTAATTTATATTATCAAATTAAACAACTACATTGTATGTTTATTTACAGTATGCCAGCCTATCTTTAATTTTCTTGATTTTATTAGGCTTAGTATCAAATAAAATTATTACTATAATTGTAAATTTATTATTTACAAAAATATTTATAACACTTATTACTTCATTTTAACTAACAAATTTATCACAAAATTTAGATTTCTTATTGTATTTTAAAATCTACAATTTATCTCTCTACTTCTAATTTATTTTCTAATTTTGTTTCACAATTATTACAATATCCTTCTTTTAATACTATTAGTTCTAAGATTAACACTTGGTATATACAATAAATAAAATATCAAACTAATTTCTTATACATTATTACTAATACCCAAATCTAAATAAATCTTGATCATTCTAGTTGATTTAGATTACAAATAAATTAGTCTGAGTTTCTATTCTTGTTATAATATTTTAAAAATAAATTTGAACTTTATACAAAAATTTCAGTTAAATATTTAATAAAGATAGAGGCATGGCCTCACTATTAACATTAAAAAAAAAAATTTAAAGCTTAGTTATATAACAGAAATTTCAATTCTACAAAAAAATAGTTTAATTGGTATAATGTTTTAGAATGATAATCAATTTACTAGTAAAGCATAATGCAGATTATTACAAATAAAGCCTGATAATTTTTTTGTACTTAAAGCAATATAATTGTATGACTAGTATATAACAGTAATGCCATTGTTATTTAATACAATAGAACCTAAAGAGTAACTTGGCAAAGAATTAGAACATAGTGAACTTTCATTAACAAGTTTCATATATCATGAAGTAGCATTTGAGGTTCAAAATATAAAGATCGATTTTATATAGATTGCAATTCTAAAATCTCAAATAGACAATTTTCACCTGGTATTCAACTTTTTTTTTGATTTTTATAACTATAGAAATGTTTTATTGAACTTATACCTTTTGACTTTTTGCATAGCTATAAAAAACAACCAAAGAAGAGACAAAGGTCAGAAAACTAAGAAAATAAAAAAAGAACTGAGTAGGTAAGTATGCAAATATAAAATGATGTTAGATTGAGTATAGTAAGAGAAAAAAAGACCAAAAATTCTAATTCTATATACTACCTGCTAATCTTTCTTTATTTCAATTTATACTGCCTATTGAAATATCTTTTCATAAAGTAGAATGTAGTGCCATTTGTGTTGCCTGTTCTAAAAATATTTTGTAATATTATAATATCTATCCTTGAATTATCAAGACCTTCAGTACTTTATCCTATTCCAGTTCACTATTGTCAGCAAACTCTTTCAACCTATTATACATCTTTTTAGCCATCATCTGATCTTTTGCATAAATGTTTCCCAATAAGAACATTTGTTTAAGCATTTTTTTTACAGTATTTGTCATTTGTTTTCCTTTATTTTGATTACTATATGTTGCATTTTTATGCAATACCCATCTTTTATTCCAAGAAAAGTTAACTGGTTCTGTAACCATGTAGGTACTTTGCATTATATTTGTTCAATGTTTGCTAATTAATGAAAAAGTAATAAATATGTATTATCAATATTGTACTTACTTTCCTCTGTATCATTTCCTGAAATATTTATAGAATTTATTTTTATATATACAAAATTTAAGTAATCTTGAATTCAAATAATAAAATTATAATAGAATATGTTATCATTATCTATTATTTCAACATTATCTATCTTCATTGTGTTCTGGCTTTGGTTTTCTGAATACAAAATTTTGTATAAATGTTATTGATGCAATCTTATATAATATTTCTTATTTTGAGGTTTTAACAAAGTCATTTTTCATTTCAATTGAGGCTTAGTATATGATGATATTTTTGGTTTGAAATGAAAAATTTCCTCATTACACAAATTAGCAATCATGGCAGAGAAAAAGTGAACTGAAGCTCCAAAATGTGGCAATAGATGTGCTATGATATATCCTGCTAATAGGTCTGCAATTGGCCATTGCCAGAAATTATACTTAGATATTCTGGTGATAGTTTTTATATATGGTTTTTTTCTCTTTTTGTTTTTAAAATTTTCATTTTTATCTTTTTTTGATTTTGATTTGGTTCTATATTTGCCAAATATGTACTTGTCAGATTTTTGTGGCAGTTACAATATCAGACCCTTCTACTAAATTATTTTCAATACAAACATATTGGTTAATAGCATATGCTATCTAAATGAATAAGAATAAACAAGTATAATTTAACTATTATATACATATATATATATATTTTTTGTTTTCTATAAATAAATATAAAAACTTACTGCAGCATAATGTGAATCAATTATAGTCTTTACTTTACCAGGCTCTAAAAATAGCCATCCACGAATCTTAACACTATACCAATCAAACCAATAGGCTACTATCATTATTAGCTTACTATTATAATAGTATGGCCTATTATTTGAGATTATTTTTATCCACTTTGGTTTATTTTTAATGCTGTTAAACATAGCTTCAAAACAAGATGCTGTAAATTATGTATTTTGTTTTGTATCTGTGGACTAATGATCATAGGCTCTGATATTCAAAAAATCCACACCATTATTTTTTGTTATTATTAAAATTGTATGCAGTGTCCAACCTCTTTTATTAAAAAACTTTTGCTTTGTTTCTCATGCCATTTTGGAAAGGATTCTTATCTTATAATTTGTGATAATAATTGCACCTTCTGAATTAAGACTTGCCAATGATGCTTTATATTGTTCATTTAGATAATATTTTCGAGCTTGGTAAGCAAGAAAGTATTTTAACTTTTCTTGTATTTTCAATAATTGAGAATAATATTTGTTATTACTGTTTTTTTTTATAAATCAAAAAAGTTAGAAGTTTCTAAACACTCTTGACAATGCAAATAGTATAGGCTTAAACATTCTCTAAATGCAAACGATAAACAATGATTAATGCAATTATCATATAATAGTTTTCCATCTGATTCAACTCTTAAATGATGTTTAAAATTTCTTTTAAAGTGATAACGTAAGTTTTCAATTCATGATATTACGGGATTCTTTTATATATACAATAATAATATGAAATTTAGTTATAGCAGTATTGGCATTGAACATATGTTCAATGCCAACATTGCATCATAGCATTTAGAACAAATAACTTGACTAGCCATTTGTTCTAAAATAGTATTTATTATTATATAATTTATTATATATACTTACTAAGACTTCTTTTATTGTAAATATTTGTCATGTGAGAGCTAGTAAATTTTGAATACTTCAAATCCATATTCATTGCAAATAATACATAATCCACCCGAGTCTTCATAATATTGAATATGGCTACAATTAGTTAAACAAGTCATAAAAGAAGTTCGCTGCATTCCATTTGAATATCACAGGTCGAACAAATAAATAAAAGGTAAATAATAGGTAAATAACAGAAAAAAAAACTACCATTATTCTACCTTATATTTGCCAAATAATGGCAGCATAACAGCAGCATAACAACAGAATAACAGTAAAATAACAGGAGGTTTGTCAATATGAGTA